TGTACTTTGCTTTTTCTTCTCAAAAAGGACAGCACAAACCATTAGTATACTTTTGTGCTGCTTCACAGCTTTCAGGACAAGCTCATTAATGTGGCCATAATGAAGAGCCTTAAAAAGATGGAAATTAAAAATTACTCCTGGTTTGTACCTTTGACAGCCTTAGTCTTTGAAATAATGGGTTTTCCTGCCTCTGAATGCCAAGAATAATGGGAGACAAGGGAGATATAAGCAAGAGTCTTCATTCAGTGTGCTTTTACTTTCTGCCTTTGAGGCCATCAATAAAATATTTCAATGAAATTTTCTTCTATTTATTTATTATTAAATTTATATCCCATCTTTTCCAACTATTTGAAACTTAAGGCTTATGGCAATAAAAGAAAAACTATACAAAAGATGAAAATTAAAATAATATAACTAAAACCAAGACAACATTAAAATATTGTTATATATAATTGAATATATAAATTCAGTTCAACCATTAAAAATTTTGAGAAACAGATTACTTTTCTTCAATTTTTCTCATAGTGAAAACCAAGCATATCTCCGTGGAAGGGAATTCCATAGCCTAGGAAATGCATCCTTCTCCCCAATAACAAATACACGAGTTTCCATTAAAGGAGGGATCCTCAAAAGAGTGTCTCCAGATTCTTCTTCATATAAGAAGAAATAAACACCAAGGTCTTAAATAGTCTCCTGTATAAAACTGGCAACCAGGATTAGCTTCATCTAATACTTGTACCTTATATTAACCAAAATCCTAGCTATTGAATTTTGCATTAAAAGTAGCAATGCCTTTCCCAGAACTGCATATGCATTGCTAACCAATAACTTTATTTTATATTAACGCTTTAAAAATCTGTACAGCATCATTTCTTCCTGAGTTGCTTGACTTTGTCAGAAGGTTGGTATGGGACAGATTTTAGTTCTGAGGAATTTCACCTTTGTCTTTCCGGAAAAGGCAGAATTTCTCATGAATCTATGGCCATCATGACAACCAAGCGCTTGTTTCAAGTAATCGTGGTCTGACCCATATAGGTGACAAAATGCTAGACCTTTTTTATGTAGTTAAAATATGATCTGAGAGAGGAGGACATTTCCAATTGTTTCCTGTCATAGAAAAGTGTAAACTTCCATGAATACATTTGCAGTTGATTGCATGATCAGACCAAAGGTACAAGAAGGTCACTGATGGTGCCTATATGAAGACTTCCTCTTTTCACAAACATACAACATATAGCCCTCCCACACATTCAACCAAAAGTATGTATCTGGTGTGTACCTTCATAATAATAAAAAAGGAATTAGAAAAGACACATGTACAACAGAACAACACATTACCTGTGATGACCTGGGGCATGGCACGGGAGCCAATACTGCCAACTGATAGTTCGAACTCCCCTTTATTGATCCAACTTTCTCCCAAACACTCCCACATTTATGGCAAGTCTTGGAGCAAAGCGCTCACACACTCCTCCAGCAGCCTCTGGCTCTGAGTAGTCCAGCAAAACGCTGTTAACACAATGGCTTCAAGACAAGAAGTCCAGCGAGGCAAAAAAAAACAAAGCAGCAATAAGGCAAGACGTCCAACAAAATCCAGATGTTGGCAACAGCACACAAAACTCCATGAATACAGCACTTGTTCCCAACAAACACCCCTCCCCACAGCGTCTTCTTAAGTTTCAGTCCCCAGGTGTGCCTTATGAAGAGGGACAGTGTGCTCTCCTCACAAATCATCAGGTTGGCCTGCACTGCTCCTGCCTCCACTCCACTCTCTATGCTCAGGGATCAGGAGGGGGCGGTCCTTGCTTATTACCTGGACTCCGTTGCTCCTCATCTCCACTACTTCCCCTCTCTTCCCCCCCTCTCTCAGTTGTCCTGATGTTGTTATTTCCTGCTGGCAAGCCGTCCCAGGTCCAAGGGACCCAGGGCTGCCTCGTTCTGCTCCACGTTCATCCGGAGCCAATGAGGCTGCCTCCTTGACCTCTGTCAGCCACAGCTCTGGCTTGTCTTCCTCAGTGGACTCAGGCTCCAATGGGGCCATGACATTACCTTTCCTGGATATCAGTATCACCAGGGAAAACAACGGCAAATTAGAAATGCAAGTCAGAAAACAACCCAATAGTCTAACCAAGTGTTCCATTTCCAAAGTAACAACCCAGACTCCTAGAGGAGGAACTGAGTGAGAACATTATTCAGATGAGTACAACTGTATTGCAACAACCCAAAATACCAGAAAAAGGAAACATGCTGCCTATACCACAACTTCCAACAAAATGGATACTTATGCAACTTTATCAAAAAGTGCCTGACCATTCAAACCACAATACCACAATCAACAAAAGCTATGAAAATAAGACTACCATAAATCAAAACATTTCAGAAACAACCAACAGACTGTTACAATCACATAACACTACCGTACCATATAAATCAACTAAAGTTTCTGGAACATCTTAGATGATGTAGACCAAACGACAGGGGAAAAAAAAACAGGAGGGTTTCCCCAATTTTGCTGTTATATAATATTTCATTAATAAATCTATAAAACTTTATATTTAAATTTTTCAATTGCCTCTTTCGGTCCAGATGAAGCCAATTACGCTATTTTCATAGCAATCATTTTCAATAATGCATTCAAAACAATAAGACCTTTTCATGGAATTCATTAACCACACCAATCAGGATCTACCTGTATAAATGTATGTCCCTCAATAGATTTCATGAAGAAGGCATATAACATGAGATGTTATATGCAACATCAAAATAATGCTTTGTATCCAATTGTTTGAGAAGCAGAAAAATCTGGACTGGCTAAATACAATAATGCAAGAGGTAGCTTAAAAGAATGTTATACAAAAAATCATTTATTGCTAATGATTGCTCTGAGCAACTGAGGAATCTTACCATGAAAAAGAAGATACTATAAGAATTGAATTGGAGAAACAGCAATACCATATATATAAATACCCACGAAAACTTAAGAAAACAAATATCAGACCTCTACGGGGAGGAAATAAACAGCCAGACCAAAACTTACGAGAAGCTGGAAGTTAAAAGAGCAGGAATACTATGTGACCTCAAATTCCTACACAGCTGCAGAGACAACAATGCAACACCGACCTGCTTCAAATTAACATTTCATCACAGCACAGCAGCTACTAAACGTATCCTGAAAAGAACTGAAATGGCTCTACTCAGGAACAAGCTCCACAGAAAGAGATTCCAACTCGATCAGTTAAATAAAGATCTCCTAATTCTACACCTGGAATTGAGCAACAAAATCATGGGGGATATCTTTGGGATAAGATAAAACAACTTACAACTTGGAGCTGAAACTGAAACCACTTACAAAAATGACAAAACTCCTGAAGAAACTAAAGACATTAGAACATGACAAGAAAGCCCCAACAACTCACAACACCTGAAACAATTAGTATACAACATTTCCAACAGAGAACTCACCAAAACAGAAACAGATGTCCTAACCAAAGGATTCAATTATGCTATAGCATCGAAAAAAATCCCCAAAGAATCCATCATATGTGGAGTGGAATTTAATACAGATGAAGCTGATAGAATAAGACACCAAGTCACTAACATCCTATGCACAGGCAAACCACCCAAAAGCAACTTGCACAGAGGAACTAAAAGCCTTGCAAGCCCTAAGAAACGACAGCAGCATAATCATACTTCCAGAGATGAACACCCTTTGAATGGTGTGGGAGTAGGAATGGATTTCCAGAGAAAAATTGCAGACTACAGGAACCAGGAGCACTACTCAGGTGACCTTGAGATAAACCTCCAACTGCTTCAACAAAAATGGCCAGTTGTCTGCAAAGAATATAAACCCTTCCATTCTGGATCATCCTGTTGGAAGAATTATCCTTCTGGGTTTAGTTCCAAGTGGGGAAAAAGACACTGGAGACATGGAGGCTGTTTGGAAAGATGGTTTAATGGTGGACAGGACCACATGGCTTGGAACTCCAAAGTGAAAAGGATAATCACATGCTGCAAGATGTTGGGTAAAGGGAAAGAAAGGCGGGCCATGATGCTGAGAGACCCTTATAAACCCTCTGTTGGGCCCCACCTTAGTGTTTCCTGTTCCTGTGCAAGAAATGTATCCCATTTGCTGTCAGATTCCCAGGGGCGGAGGTCTTAACTAACTTTGTAGGCTTTGTCTGGACCACATGGTTTCACCTGAGTGTTGGCTGATGCAATCTTCCCAGGCCAGGTGGTGAGATGGTTAGAGGCCTTTGTTATGTAGAGTACTCTGGCCTAGGCCTTAATGGCCCACTAACAAAGGTGCGGGGGGGGGGGGGGGGGCGGGGGGGGGGGCGACTGAGTTTCTGCTTCTGAGTTTTTATTCCTTTTTAGGGGAAATATTCTGCCTTTTTAGTATTTCCCAGGGTATTCCATTTTTCTAGGAGAGGGGTAGGTGCTAACTTCCTACAATCCTGTCAGAGCTGAAGAAGCTTCTTGGATGAGAAGCGAAACGTCTTCAAAGAAAAAACAAGTCCAGTTGCCTCTTGAAAAATCACCTTTGGGACTGCGCCCTACTGTTTATGTTTTGGGACAACATTAAGACCTACCTCCTTGCGGCTTAGTGTCAAATTATAGAAACCAAGAGAGAGCTTTTGTAGAGGCTATATACAAAGCCGAGCTTAAGGACAAACTCAGCTTCAGTTTAAGTCTGGGGCGCCGCCCTTACAAAAGAGACACCAGGCTTAGTAAGATAAAAAAAAATTGCAAGCAAACTGCCCATCCCTGATAAGTTACCACGGAGCGGGCGGGCGGGGGCTGTGGGGAGGCCCCGAGGCGAACTCTCCGACAGGTCTAGGGCCTCCCTCCTCTCGGGCCAGACCTTTAGGCGCGCGGATCCCTCCTCCCACCCCCAACCCCGCTTGTTTTGATAACAAACCCGCGTGGGGAGGGAAGAAGCACGCGCCTGCCGCGCGCAGGTAACAGGCTGTGGGCGGGCTTCCTTCAGTGTGGCTCAATCCGAGCGAAGTAAGGGGCGGAGCCTCGGGCCGGGAGCAAAGAGCCAGCAGGGCAAGCGTCAAGATGGCGGACGTCGCTGAGCAGGACTTGACGACCCTCAGCCTGGAGCAGTTGCCCACTGACCCGCTATTACTCATCCTAAGCTTCCTGGATTACAAAGACCTCATGAGGTGGGGGCACCGCCGGGAACGGGTGGGTGGGAGCTGAGGCCGAGCCTGTGGCATGACTGACCCGCCCCTTACTTTCCCCTGCAGCACCAGCCATTGGGAAAGAAGGGAGGCGAAGGGCGATGGTGTCTTCTTAGGAGAGGCGCGGGGGGGGGGGGGGGGAGAAAATAGAGAAGCCAGCTCGGTGGCTTCGTCCGTCCGTCCGTCCCCCCCCCAAAAAAGGATGGGGATTGGAAGGCTTGCTTAGGGAAGGTGTGGTATCTCGAGGGTCTCGGAGCAGGCTGGAGATGGGGATTGGTGTCGAAAGAAGGGTGAGGTTTCCTTGAGATCGAGCGAACCGGGGCAAGTGGCTTTTCCGTGGGGCAGGAAGCTGGGCAGAGGCCTCGATGGGGGGGGGGGGGGAGCATTTATTTCTGATGTTGCGAGCTGCAGAGGCTTTTCCTTGCCAGGGCATCAAGGAACCTTCCAAGCGCCTCCCTTTGCTGATGGACAGGTTTCTTTCATCAGGCTTGCATGTATCAACAGGTGCTTGCATTATTCACTGCGTTAAAACGGGCCTTGCCCTTGTGATACGGTATTTAAGGCTTTGCTGAGAAAGAGAAACACAATTAGTAGAATTATTAGTGGGGGGGACTCGTCATTCCCACTGTAGGACGTTGTTGACTTGACTCAGAAGGGGTTTAGTGCCAGTGTCCTGATGTAATTTTCTATTGATGATTTTAAATGAACCATCTTTTGTAATGGAAAACATATCAGCTCCTACAGTTGATTGGAGAAAGAAGGAACTACTTAACCTTTCAAATATTTTTTCTTCTGTGAGATTGCTCCCCTCCAAAATAACAGGGAAAGTAAGTCTATTGAAAATAGTGAAAAAAGTAGTGAAAATAAAAATGAGTTGTCTTTCAGTTAGTGTCTAGTCCCAAACATACTTTTTCAAGAGGCAACTAGACATTCTGGTTTTTCTTTGAAGAGGTTTCGCATGTCATCGAAGAAGCTTCTTCAGCTCTTGGATGAGCTGGAGACTTCTTGGATGAGAAGTGAAATGTCATAAAGAAAAACCAGAAAGTCCAGTTGCCTCTTGAAAAAGCACCTTTGGGACAACCATGACCTGAAGGACTGAGAATCTCCATAGTGTTTATGTCTAGTGTTTATGCAGGGAAAACATCAAGCAAAATTGAAAGTGGCCCTCAGTGGTTAATTTGGCCACTAAATAACTTAACAGTGAATTGCATAGTGAACATCTGATTAAAATTATAGGATAAATGTTTTGACATGGTATGATCTGCAATGGTGGTTCATTATTTCTAACTAATAATGGCACCACCAAATAGATTGTTCCTTGAGGGTACAACATTTGATGTGTTGGCAGAATTTTATATAAAATAGTGAGTTTGACATTCAAAATTATAAATGGAAATTAAGGGTAAATATGTTTGCATTATTTATTGAAAACTAAGGAAGTAATACATTTCCAGTAGGAAAATTTTCTTTCTTTTTTAACAATTCTCATGCTTCCTTATCATGAGAATCCAAATCAATGCTGACAACTTCTTCAAATATTGAATCCTTAAAGCTTTAGAAAAAGAAACTAAATGATCAAATATATATCTAGAAGTTCAGCTTCTAAATAATTTAATGTGTGATCATTTAAAAACCAAGTATTAAATATCTACATAAAACATGTTAATTTTAATTTCAAATCTGGGTGGTTTTTAGCTTCATTCTCTTCTGTGTAATAAAAACTACCTTAGTATTAACATTAAATTTAATCCGATACCTCTTTGTTGCAGTTGCTGTTTTGTAAGTCGTAGATTAAATCAACTTTCAGTCCACGATCCATTATGGAAAAGGCATTGTAAGAAATACTGGCTTCTTTCTGAGTAAGTGTGGATAATATTTCAGTTTGCATAAAATAAAAAATGGCTTATACTTTTTATCCAATACAAGTTAGTAATTGTAATATGGAAAAACAAGGCTTTGAAATTGCTTCTAGGTGTAACCATCTGAATTATTTGCTATTATTATTTGAAATATAAGTATTTATAAATATCTATATATGTATATGTATATGCTTATGTACTAATTATAAGTAATTATAAATATGTGTATACTTTTACATCTATATTTACATACTATAATATGCATTTATGGGCATAAGTATAAATACATTTATATCTATATTTTCATACATTTATATCTATACTTACTCTCCATGGAGTTTTTGCTCCATTTGATATATTAATTATGTTAATTCCTTATGCGCAGTATGAGATTTAAGAGGATAAATGTGTGTGGGCAGACTGATATTTTACAATATTGAATTAAGAGTTGAGGTTTTGTTCATTTTCAGTTAAGTGGAAATGCTTCTAAATATCAATTTGACATGATCAAATGTATTCTTGAGGAATAGCTTCTAAAATAATTAGTTCTTCTCCAGGTGTACTAGAATAGTTTAAATTTGTTAGACCAGATGATTCAGTGGTCAATAGATCTGGGCTGATCTCACTATTTTTGTAAACTACCTTGCTTTAATTAAAGGAGTATAGAGAGTTTTGAGTTCAACACATTTAGCAAGCAATAACTATTTTGGGCTCAGCTTAATGAAATTTCAATTTTGAAACAGGTTTTCTAATCTTACCTACAGCGTCACTGTACATAATGTACAGTATAAATGTGGCATTGATATTACCACTTGCTGCTTATGGAATAGAATAGAATAGAATAGAATAGAATAGAATAGAATAGAATAGAAT